CAGGGAGAAGGAAACCATACACATTTCGTTTCAGGATATACGCAAACAACGGGACAAAGTAAAGAATACATGCCACCTTACATGACAGTTTACGCATGGTATAGAATTGCTTAGTCGTCATTTTCAACTTCTTTAGCATATTCGTCAGGAGTTGTCTTATATTTGTTAGGAACTGTCTTTGAAAGTATACCACCTTGAACTTTGACAAGTTTGAAACGAGGTCTGACAATAGTAGTTTTATCTTCTGCTTGCAGTGTGTACATTTTGCCATGTTTGCCTAAAACTTCATAATATTCTCTTGTATACTTTCTTCTATTTTTACGAACACGAATGTGAGTACCTGTCGGTTCCCATTGTTGTCATAGTCAATAGTATTTTCATATGGGTGCGTTTAGGTATTTCTATTTTTACTTTGTCACCTTTCTGAAGTTTGAAGCCCGGCATTCTTTCTTGTTTTGTCTCTTTTGACTAAATTATTAAATATATAGTCTTTCTCTAAGTCAGGGTTGTTTTTCATTTCTTCGGGGAGTGGTTCCCAAACCTTTTTGTTTACGGTTATTGTAAATATTTAAAACTTGTCTCATCTTTGCCATGGAGAAGTGTCTATATTTGTCGTCATATGACATTTCATTGCTTCACACACCTTGTGGTTGGTTTAAGTCTCTTAACATTTTTATACAACCGTCAATGACACCAAGAGCAGAATGGTTTTGGTCGACAATGAAATATTGGTTTACATTTTTTGAACGCAGATAGTTTTTTACATCATCTGATTTGAAAGAACTTTCACAGTCAGATGTCAGTTTTGTTGGATGGTATTTGTCAACGAATATTGTCAAAGCAGTTTTCACATCTAAAATATTTTTGGACCATAATGGTATGGCTTCACAGTATCTTGTGTTTTGACCGACAAATATTAGCCAGTATGGTGGTCCATCTGTTCTAACTCTCGGAATGTTTTCCAAGATATCCATAAACCAAGCATTTGGTGTTGAACTAAAGATTTTTATCATGAGTGCTTTTTTTGTCGCTTTAGAAACATAGGGGTCCTTGTTTGGATTCGTCATTTTTTATCCTATAAGAAATGGGTTTATTTGGCGCATTAGCAGGAGTTGCATCCAGATTTTTGCCCGCAGTGGGAACAATAGCCAGAGGTGTATTTGGAGTTGGAAGGAAGATTTTGAGTACATTAGGTATACTTAAGAGAAAGCACAACCTATTATACAAACTGTACAGAAAGGTTGGGATGTAGCACGAGATGCAACAAATCTTATTTCCAAATCCTGAAACAAGAGGAAAAGTTCAAGGATGGATGGACAATGTAGGAAGACAAGCAGGAAACTATTATAACAAAGCAAATGACTACTATAACCAAGCAGGACACTATATGGACCAAGGAAAGATTCTTTAACAGAGATATAACCATGCACAACAGTGGGTAAACAATAACCAACCTCAACCGCCTCAAACGTGGGGAATGTAAAGTTTTTTATTGAGATGAAATGAACAATGCAGCATTGAGACAAATAAGTTCAAGATGGATTGTCGGCTTCCAGCAGTTACACAACGTGTTTGTCAAGTTCTTCCTATACCTCAGGAAGTTTTAGACCGACTTAAAAAACAACAACAACCAGTTGAAAACAAACACCAAACTAAAATTTTTTACTGAGATGAAATGACCGAAGAAGTTGAAACGGTAGATTTTGACACCACAAACAAAAAGTTCAGAACCATTGTCAAAACCTGTCAAAGAACTTACAGATGAAGAGAAAAATTCAATAATAGAAAGTGCCAGGTCTGGAAATACAAACCCTAACTACAAAGTCACTTTTCATAAAAATGGAACGGCTAGTATCTCAAAAAAGAAACAGACTCTCACAAATAAAATATTGAAGTCTGAAGGAGCTTTCGAGACAACAGATGGAAAAGTTTACTTCACTGACCAACAGTTCATTATAGAACATCTCATTGACTTAGAGTCGAAATATTCTAAACTTTACAACAAACACAAAAAGTTGAAAGGAAAACAAAAACAAATGGCATATGATATTTATGAAGATGTTGACGACACAACTGTTCCTGCAAGTGAAAGTAAAGTCAGAGAAACCGAAAAGTGACGAAAAACCGATAGAAGAAGAAAAACCAAAAACTGAAGATAAACCAAAACCAAAGTTTAGTTTGGAAACTAAACCAAGTCAACCTTCATTAGCTGGTATGGGTTGGCGTCAAAGACTTATGGCAGCAGGCGGTTATGTTAAGTAAAGAAAAAAATATTTTTTTTCTTTTTATAAAAATGCCCCATATAGAATGGATAGAAAATCTGCTAGAATAAAAGCAGAGTTGCAAAGATATGGTTGGAGAGTTTCGAAGAATTTTAAATATAGGAAGGGAAGACCCATAAAAGTCTATGACAAATTGTCTGGTCTTCGCTACGAAATGGATTTGGAAACAGCACGTGCAAATTATCCAAACAGACTAGAGAGGTTAGAAGAAGAACGTCTTATGGACATGCCTTTCGATGTGTTAAACATTGCATGAAATAAAAAAATTTATTTTAAAAAAAGTGACATTTTTTTATTTTATTTGAAATGTACGCTGAGTTTGTTGGAGAAGACCGTTGGGAAACTTGTTTGTTAGATGAGAAATATGAAATGGCATACCATTTTAAAACAATATATTTTTACATATATTAAATGCTTCAGGTTGAAAAACAAAGAACAAAAGTAGCAGATACAAAACCGTTAGACTATATCTTTACAAATGCTGGTAGGACTATTTCAGATGAAGAAATTTCATCCCGAGCATACAGGTTTGACTATCCAATTCGTTGGCTTCAAAATCCTTCAGATGCAAAGGCAATAGGATTTAGAAGAGTTTTGTTTTCAAATAGAACTAACGCATTTATGTTCGCAGTATATTTTCATGGGCAGTATAAAGGTTCTGATGGTCTAATAGACAAATTTGACGAAATGAGAATCTTTACAGTTCGTTCAGACGAAAGTCTTTGAGAAAACTCTAAATGACTTTCAAACTCAAATGAACAAATATTATTGGGAATTTCAAGAAAAATACGACTCTTTACTAAATGGAACATACTATCTGAAACTAGAATATGACAAGATGAACTCCACCGTTTCATTTCAAAAGATTGAAATTAACCCTCCAAGAGATACAGAGTTTTTATTTTGGAAAGTAGACAAACGTTCTTGGGCACAATTTCTTCGGTTACTAAACCAGAACGAACCATTACCACCAGATGGTCCATTTCAATTTATACTTCCACCAGCAGATTTGACAGTTTATAGAAACGTGTTTGACCCTCAAAATGTTATGTGTCATGCAAGTTTCAGTTCAAGCAACAATAGTTTTCTATGTATTGGTAAGGACTTTTATGACTTTGCTTCTAAATTCTACGAACCACCTAGTAACAGTTTCTCTGACTTTCAAGTTTGGTTCACAACAAATGGTGTGCAACATATTATTCCATTGTACTATGACTTTTATCTCGAATTGTCTTTCATATATAACTACGGAAAAGTGCTGAAAAAGTATTGAAAAATAATGTTTATGTTAGCATGTTAGATCTAACACGTTTTCTAACCACTTTTCTAACATCGTAGAAAACTCATGAAAACAATTTATTTTTGACACTTTCACAAAAAACATAAAAAAGTGAAGTTAAAATGAGATGTTTACTGAACTGGTTGGATGTCGCCTTCACAGGTTATGTAGAACGGCTGACCCGAGAAGCGAAGGAGAGACTGAATTGCCAATTTCATATGGGGTAGGGGGTTCTCCTTGTTTGGTATTTTTATCCAAGGACGTTTGTTTAGGAACTTAACAAGAGCTTCTTTCTTTGCTTGCTTTATGTCGTCGAAAGGAGTGTTTTCTGGTATTTGAATTGGAATTCCAGTCGAAGTCTCGAGATTCAAGGCAGCCCTTCCAGAAATAGTGGTGAACTTGACCTTGGGGCTTCATGACCTTGCGCAAGTAGTCTTTTACGCAGTCGTTAATTTCAATTAGGTAAATTGCCTCGTCAAATCCTTCTGGCATTCCGAGTCCTTCCATCCGACAGGAAAATATTTTCCCGACAACTGGAAAAAATTTTCCGGACAAAGGGAAAAATTTTTCCTTCCGACAGGAAGAACTCTTCCAGTTGTCCGTCCGTAAACCATTCAAATTTTCGAAAATTGAGAACTTTTTGGTCGAACTTCAGAAAAAGTTTTTCCTTCCGACAGAAAAAGTTTTTCCATCCGACAGGAAAAAATTTTCCGGACAAAGGGAAAAAAATTTCCTTCCGACAGGAAAAGTTCTTCCTTCCGACAGGACACAAACGGATGTCCGATGTACCACCAACCGAGTCCATTCCCAAACCAGAGGAACCTAAAGAACCACAACAGTCTCCTCAGCAACCTCATTTCTACCCTCATTTCTACCCTCTTGAATTTGTCAAGACTTCTTCGTAAATGTTTTGTCAAGACTTCTTCGTAATGAGTGTAAAGGACCCAAAAATAATGTTTAGGGTAGATGGTTAGATCTAACCTCATTTCTAACCTCATTTCTACCCTCTTGAATTTTCATGAATTTCCTTAAGATAGAAAAAATAAAGTTAGTTTTATTTTTTTATTTTGTATAAAAGATATGATTTCAGGGATTTTTTTGACGAAGTGTAAATCTTCACTTCGTCAAAAAATAACAGTTATCTAATGAAAAAGTGTCATTTTTTTCATTTGACGAGAATGTCGGGTAGATGGTTAGATCTAACCTCATTTCTACCCTCATTTCTACCCTCTTGAATTTTCATGACTTCTTCGTAAATGTTTTGTCAAGACTTCTTCGTAATGAGTGTAAAGGACCCAAAAATATAATTTAGGGTAGATGGTTAGATCTAACCTCATTTCTACCCTCATTTCTACCCTCTTGAATTTTCATGAATTTTCCCGAAATAAAAAATAAAGTTAGTTTTATTTTTTTTATTTTTTTTATTTTGTATAAAAGATATGATTTCAACAATCGGCACAACAACAATTCAAACAACAGCACCAAACTCTTTAGTCATGAATCCAACATCTATGTTAGTAGAGATGAAAAGCTTCATTCCTTCTTCATATACTTTTGAAACAGAAATCCAGAAGATAAAGCAAGAACTTTTAACAAGTAATTTAGACTGTAGTGCGAAAGATGAAACAAATGAACAGTATCTTTATGAAATGCAGGACATTATTGACCATTTACCCAAACTACCTGAAATCCAACAACAAAAACTCACTATTCCTGAATTCGATGAAATAGAAGTGAAACCAACTGACTCAGTAGAAATAAAGAAGTTCATTCGTAAGGTAAACTATGAGTTTCTAGGATTTCATTGCAACCATAAAGTTATGGACAAAGATTGCGACATGGTATATAAGAACATCTCTGACATATATAAATCTGAAGAATTTAAGACCTACGACAACTTTGTTTCGTTAGTTGCTGAATGTGTATGGCAGATAAGAGATAAAGATAGAAGAGGCAAAGTATGGAACAAACAAATAAGACCCGCTATGTTTGAGATGAAGAGAGCAATTGACGCTTTAGTTGTTTTAGCTGGTTTTATTTCAATGTATAACGCAAAAATGAACCCGCAATGTTCTAAATGTAAAGCAGCAATGAGGAAATATAACTACTCCGTCAAAGAGATAGAACGTATGAGAAACGACTATGCTGACTTAAAGAAAGAAGCAGAAAAACCAGCAGAAGATAAAATGGACATGTTAGAATTTCTGAACAAAAACTATCCAACAGCAGAAGATTTCCTTCTATCTGACGTCAAGAAGAAGTATAAAGAAACCTTCGGCATAGTTAAAACATTCGATGTACTAAAAGAAGAAATAGAGGCTACAAAACTGTTTAAAGTCTCACGAATTCATAACGTTTACCATGTAAAACGCTTATAAAATAACTGGGGTAGAAAAGAGGGTAGAAATGAGGTTAGATCTAACCATCTACCCTAAAATATATTTTTGGTCATTTACAATGAAGTCTTGAAAATTCATGAGTTTTGTGTGTTTTAGACCATGTTAGAAAAGAGGTTAGAAAACAGGTGAGATCTAACATGCTAACATAAAATATATTTTTGGTCATTTACAATGAAGTCTTGACAAAAACTATCCAACAGCAGAAGATTTCCTTCTATCTGACGTCAAGAAGAAGTATAAAGAAACTTTCGGTATCGTTAAAACATTCGATGTACTAAAAGAAGAAATAGAGGCTACAAAACTGTTTAAAGTCTCACGAATTCATAACGTTTACCATGTAAAACGCTTATAAAATAACTGGGGTAGAAAAGAGGGTAGAAATGAGGTTAGATCTAACCATCTACCCTAAAATATATTTTTGGTCATTTACAATGAAGTCTTGAAAATTCACGAGGGTGAAAAAAGAGGTGAGAAAACAGGTGAGATCTCACCTCTTCACCTAAAATATATTTTTGCTGAATTCAGCAACAAAAATCATGATTTTCCTTAAGATAGAAAAAATAAAGTTAGTTTTATTTTTATTTATTTTTTTATTTTGTATGTAAGAACAGAAATGACAAACATTGAGTTTGAAACAGTTAGAAAGATAGACAATGACACCAAAGTGGTTAGAATAGGTGATTTAAACGTAAGATACTCAAAGAAATACAACAAATATTCTTTGTCAGACATTATATCTCCATCTGGAAAGAAAACAAAGGACTGGGTTAGAATTGCTTCTAGTCAGAAAATTTTGACAAGAAATCCTGAGCTTATGATATCGGTAAGATTCTATGGAACTGCAGCATATCTCATCGACAAAAGTCTTATACCAATAGTTTTGTTATGGTTAGACCCAGTTGTTGGATATAACTTCATAACATATGGTTCATTCGATACGGAACGTTGCAGTGAAGGCTTACTTTACATCGTTCAGAAACCGAAGGACTTCAATACAAAGAGATATAAGATAGGAAGAACATATAATATAACTCAAAGATATGACAGTACAGTCAATAGAGTCAAGGTTGTGTTTGCTAATGATATGAGAGCTGCAGAAACAGAACTACTTGAAAAGTTTGAGAAAATATATGGTGCTCCCATAAAAGGTAAAGAAACGTTTGAAGTAGATGAGATAGATAAAGCTATAAAATTATTTGACGAAGTTGCTGAAAAATACATGTAAAGCGTTTATTTTTGGTCTTTTGTGAAAGTCAGAAAATAACGCTAATTTTTTTATAAAATATTTTTTTATTTTGTATGTAAAGACAGATATGTCAACAACAGAGAACACAACAACTGCTATCGTTCATGAAGCTATAAATGAAGAATACGAGTACATACAGTTTAACAAACAACTCCGTCTCATTCGTTCGGTCAAAGACGATATGTACCAAATGCAAAGTATTTTGACAGCATGTTTTGCTCCAGATACCAAACATACAGACGATTGGTTCAAAAACCAAAGCACACAAGAACTTTTGAGCGAAGCACAGCGAGACCGACTTTTTTCGGGGTCGCCTAAAACTCATGAAAATCGTAAAAATTTGCCAAATGGTTTGAGAGGTTGGTATGTACATAGACTTCTTGTAAATGCTGTTGCAATGTGGGCTTCGCCTCGTTATGCTTGGTATATTTACAGACTTCTTGACGAAATTCATAGACAAGAACGTGAAGAGATGGAAAAGAAACTTCAAGCAAAAGATGAAGTCATTGAAGCAAAAGACAAAAGCATTCAGAAAAGAATACCACGTTCGGTACCAAAAGGAAAGGAAAAGAACTATAAGTATATGATTTATACTGAAGAGATGGAAAATGAAGAAGATAAAGATATGGTTATGTTGCATTTAGTCAGAAGAAACAACAAAAGCTTTTACGACCTTGCTAAGATTTACAAATCTGACAGAAATTGGTTCTATCGCGAAAACTTACCGATTTCAATGACACCGAATGAAGATGTGAAACAAATAGTTCAAGATACGTTACCTCAAACACACTATGATATGAAAGGTTGTACAATACTTACCTTCAAAGAAGACTTACCGCTACTGAAGGAAAAAATAACAGAGTATTTTGACAACTTCAAACAAGCAGAGTAAATGAACCATTTATTTTTCAAGCTTGACTTTTTTACAATTTGAATTTTGTTGCTGAATTCAGTAAAAATATAATTTAGGGTAGAAGGTTAGATCTAACCTCATTTCTACCCTCATTTCTACCCTCTTGAATTTTCATGAATTTTATATATATTAATGTTTTCGTTATGCCACTTTGTGCCGTCAGTCAGTCAGTCAGTCAGTCAGTTTAGGAAATTTACACCAAAAAATAATGTTTAGGGTAGAAGGTTAGATCTAACCTGTTTTCTACCCTCATTTCTACCCTCTTGAATTTTCATGAATTTTCCCGAAATAAAAAATAAAGTTAGTTTTATTTTTTTTTATTTTTTTATTTTGTATAAAAGAACAGAAATGTCAACAATCGGCACAACAACAATTCAAACAACAGCACCAAACTCGTTAGTCATGAATCCTACGTCAATGTTGGTAGAGATGAAAAACTTCATTCCTTCTTCATATACTTTCGAAACAAAAATCCAGAAGATAAAGCAAGAACTTTTAACAAGTAATTTAGACTGTAGTGCGAAAGATGAAACAAATGAACAGTATCTTTATGAAATGCAGGACATTATTGACCATTTGCCTAAACTACCTGAAATTCAGCAACAAAAACTAACCATTCCTGAATTCGACGAAATTGAAGTCAAAGCAACTGACTCAGTAGAAATAAAGAAGTTCATACGAAAGGTAAATTATGAATTCCTTGGTTTTCATTGCAACCATAAAGTTATGGACAAAGATTGCGACATGGTATATAAGAACATCTCTGACATATATAAATCGGGGGAGTTTAAGACATACGACAACTTTGTTTCATTAGTTGCAGAATGTGTATGGCAGATAAGAGATGAAGATAGAAGAGGTAAAGTATGGAATAAACAGATAAAACCAGCAGCTTTTGAGTTAAAGAAAACCATTGACGCCTTAGTTGTTCTAGCAGGTAAGGTTTCAGAATATAACGCAAAAATGAACCCGCAATGTTCTAAATGTAAAGCAGCAATGAGGAGATATAACTACTCCGTCAAAGAGATAGAAAGAATGAGAAACGACTATGCAGATTTAAAGAAAGAAGCAGAAAAGCCAGCAGAAAATAAAATGGACATGTTAGAATTTCTGAACAAAAACTATCCAACAGCAGAAGATTTCCTTCTATCTGACGTCAAGAAGAAGTATAAAGAAACCTTCGGCATAGTTAAAACATTCGATGTACTAAAAGAAGAAATAGAAGCTACGAAACTGTTTAGAGTCTCACGAATTCATAACGTTTACCATGTGAAACGCTTATAAAATAACTGGGGTAGAAAAGAGGGTAGAAATGAGGTTAGATCTAACCTTCTACCCTAAACATTATTTTTGCTGAATTCAGCAACAAAATTCTGAGTAAAATAATTTTTAGGGCATGTGTCAAACCGTTGAGTTTTCACAAAATTTAAAAAATAACGTTTACCATGTAAAACGCTTATAAAATAACTGGGGTAGAAAGGAGGGTAGAAATGAGGTTAGATCTAACCTTCTACCCTAAACATTATTTTTGCTGAATTCAGCAACAAAATTCTTGATTTCAGGGATTTTTTTGACGAAGTGCAAACCTTCACTTCGTCAAAAAATGGCATATGCTTGCTTCCCTCGGAAAACCGAGAGAAGAGATTCCGTATGAAAACAGTGAAGAACAGCGAGTAAGTAAAAAAACTTAGTCGCCAAAACTCTATGAAAATCGTGAAAAATAACAGAGTATTTTGACAACTTCAAACAAGTAGGGTAGATGAACTCTTTATTTTTATTGACTTTTTACAATTTGAACTTTGTTTGCGTAGATATGAATTCTGAAAGAAGTATGAGGGTCGTGTATGACTTTGTACTTCTCCCATAGTTCATGTCTGTCAAACTTACCTGCCATGGACTCTTTCATAAGTTCCATGAAATCGTCTTCGGACAATCCGGGGAAAAGTACAATGTCAGTAAGTATTCTCTTTACATCCTTACATAAACTCTTTGCTGTCTGTACACAAATGACAACTGAGATGTTAAAGTGTCTGAGCTTCTTAAGAATTCGACACATATCTTGTTCTCTATTCTTTAACAAAGGATGAGAGGCGAAATCATCTAAAATAAGAAGACACCTATGAGGGTAAGTCTTCCAATCGTAAGATTGCAATTTCTTCGAAATGTATTCTATCTCTTTCTGTTTGTTTCTGAAGTGGTGTTTGTCTAATATTCTCTGCATTTCCTCATTTGGGTCTTTAAACTTAGAATTTATATACTCATTATATAGCATTATACTTCAAAACTCTTCTTTGGTACTTCTTTATCCGATCTAACAACTCAGTATCCTTTATACATACTAACTTAGACTTCTTTATAATATCTTTGAACGAATTGACGGTTTGGTCAAATTGACCAGAAGTACTACAAATGACAACTAACTCATAGAATGGGTTCTTCTCATCTAGTTCTTGTTGTTGTGCAGCCATTTTAAGATAAGTGAAAGTCTTACCCGACCCAGGTGGTGCAATTAGACCTGTTATACCATTCTGAGCAAATAAGAACTTGTCATGTATAGGCTTTATCTGAGCATTTTCTAACTTCACCTTGTTCTTGTTTAAAACATTCTCAAATTTCTTGTCAATGTCAGCAAACTTTTTTTCTAACATATTTTTAGAAAAATTAAAATTTTTATCTTTTAGAAAATGTCTAGCGATTTCGCTATCTATATTCGAGACAAGCTTTTCGACAGCAAAACATCTGTCGACCATAAAATCTTACATAGTGTAAACAAGAAAGGTGAATTTGTTCTAAAGTTCTGTTTCTGGGAATATGACAAGAACCATAAAACATTAAGCAGAGAAGTCTTAAAATTTGTCAATGACAGACTTGTTGACAGAGATGACGCCTCTTGGAAAGATGAAGTCCAACAAAATTTCTTAGAATGCAAAGAAGACACATGCGCTGTTCTTGAAGATGAAATAGAAAACAGAATAGATGAGCTATTAAAGGACAAAGAACTTTTACATAAATATAGTTGCGCCAAATTTGACATAACTCCACCAGAAAAGAAGAAGAAAGAAAAGAAAGAAAAGAAAGTAGAAGAAGAGAAGAAAGAACCTGAACCAGTTCCAGAGAAAAAGAAATTTGACATGTAAAAATAAAATTTTATTTTTAGAACATTTCTGGGTCAATGTCAATGTTCTCTTCCTCTTTAGGAGTAAACACTGGCTTAGACTCTAAAATCTTTTTACCCAATTTACCTTGAACTTCTACAACTTTAGACTCATAATATTCATAGTCGTCTGCTTTCTTTGGTTCATAAGGTATAACAAGTTTGTATGCTTTGCCTTCTTTAAGGTTTGAGAACCTTCTGTCAAAACTTTCTTTGACTGTTAACAAACCTTCTATGTCTAAGTCTTCAAATTTCGCACCATTTTTAGTCACAATAGCAAACTTAACTGGTTCGATGTTCCAAACTTTGCTGAATGAAGACTTTTCAAAATGGTAGAAGTAAACATTCAAATATGTGAATGGGTCTAGTTCTTCTTTAAGTCCTGACATGTACTTGTTTACTGAGATGAATTTTGCCATCTTTTCTATCGGATAAAAAATATTTTTTTTAAAATTTACTCATAAAAATTTTTCTTTGTATATACACCATTCTGTACGTCTAAAAGACTTTTGACATTTGCCAAGAATGTTCGTTTAGACGCTGTCATATAACCATATTCTTGACAATATTGTTTATACGAATCGTACAATGACCTTTCATCTAAACACTCAAAGTCAGTTTCATCTATGAACAGTTCATATACACTCTTGTTTGCTTCTAACAATGTTTGTCTCTCTTCGGTATGTGGAATTTGTCTTGGATTGAACTTAGAAATATCTAATGTCATAAAATATGAGAACAAGTGGTTGTAAAAGTCAGATGTCAAAGTTTCTGCTAAGTCGTCAAAATATTCTGTATCTTGCATATGAGAATCTGACGTTCTGACAACTACATATCTTCTGTCAGAACTTTCTAACTTCATCGGAACAGCATTGTTTGAAACCATAATGAAGTTTGCAACATTTTCACAAACTCTTTGGTCTTTATACTTTCTTTCAACAACTCCAACTTTGTCTGTTATAAGACTCTTCAAAGCATCTGAGTTCAAAACTTTTGTTGTATCTATACTTTGAAGTTCGTTACATACTATAAGTTTCATATTCTCTATTGAGGAGTTAAACTTGCCACAGATGTTTCTAAGTTTGTCATATTCGGATTCGAATAGCCCTCTAACAGTTTGCATAAGATATCTGTAAAGAATGTGTTCTTACCAGTTCCTTGTTTTCCAATTATAATGAGAGCAGTTTCATTTTTAGCACTTGGATGTTGTAAGATGTTTGCAAACCAACATAAGATATACTCATAGACTCTTTCGTTTCCATTGCATATAATTTCTTTGACATGGTCTAACCAAGCTTCTATAATATTTTCTTTCCATTCTACTTGTTCGTATTTATATCCAGTGAAGATAGAATAAAGTTTGGAGAAGGTGTATAGAACTTTATACCTCGAACTGAAAAATCTTCTAACTTTGACAATAAGATATCCCAAGCATCTAACATCTTCATGCCAACTTGTACAACTTTTATTTTCTTAAGTTTCTGTCTACATTCTTGTTCTGAAACTATTGTCGCTTTAGGTTTGTTAAAGACTACATCCCATTCTTTCATAACATAACATTCTGGGCAGAGTCGACATAAATGACTAAACGTTTCAAATTCTCGACTGCTTTGTTATAGTCTCTAAATGGACACATATTTTGAATGCTTGGAAGTCATAAAAATCTGAAACATCTATTCTGTACATTTTTATAAAAATAAAAAAAAT